ATTTACTTGTGTGATCCATCTATTACGGACCATACAAGATTATAAAGACTAAACTACTTGGACTTATTAATTAATATTAATTCATAAATAAATATTCCAACAGAAGATACATCAACCAGGTCTAGGACAGCATAAAGGTTAGTAGTCATTTTATTCATACAATGCTTAATTATCATAACTTTATTAACTTAATAATAGAATTAACAAAGTCATATACACATTAGCAAATTTAACTCTGGCAATAAAAACTAATGTTGTGGACCAATAAAATTCAAGGGACTTGTAGGGAAAAAAATAGAGTAAAAGAGAAAATTAACTCCTCAACTATGGATTTAGGAAATTTAAGATTTTAAATTTATTTTTTATATAACATTTTCTTTCAACTTTTGAAAATAATATAATCTGACCTATATTATCAATAAAAATTAACTTTTATTATTAGTTGACTAGAAAATAATAAAAAATAATTTTAAAAATTATAGAAAATGACTTAAAATTATAATAAAACACTCAAAAATTACATATGAAGACTCAAAAAATTACAAAAAATAACCAAAAAAATTTTATTGATATTTTTTATTTGTTATTAACTAATAGTTAATGTAAACATTATTAGTAGTAGGAATTAAATTGTATTATTTTCAAAAGTTAAAGAAAAATATTATATTAAAAATGAATTTAAGGGCTTTGATGCCCCTTTACCTATAATTTAAAAGTTGATTTGCTCTTTCATCCAAAAATATATAAAGACTTATACCAAAAAAAATACTAACAGTAAGGAACAAACAATTATATTTTTCAAAAAAAAAATTCCATGCACGTTATTCAAATTCTCATCATTTTTTTTAAAGAAAATCAAGACTTTTCGGTCCGTCGAAACATTGAAAAATTAGACATTACGGTGATAAAATTTGAAAAGTTTTTTTGGCCAGAAGAAAAGGATTGACTTAAATATTATAAATAATTTAGCAATTTCATGGCCGGTTTGTTTTCCATGCAATTAGCGTGGTGATGAGCGCTGGCACTCATCAATTAACGGACACCGCATTTTGACTATTCTTTCTTCATTTTTATTTATAAAAAAATTATTATTATTTATTTATTTTTATAAAAAATTATTGCAAACTTTTTAAATTATCCCTCATAATTTTATCATTTATAGTCATAAAAAATAATTAATGAAGACTTGATTAACATAATTAATGAAAGGTATTGTAGTTCAAATTTTTTATTTTCAAATATAATTAATATGATTAATTAATTTTTTAAACTATATGATATAATTTTTTTTTCTATAAATAAAAATGGAGAGAGAACAGAGAAAAACAACGCCCTCCACTCCTGTTTTGACTCTTGGGTTAAAACTTTCAAATTTCAATGGAAAAGGGGAAAGGAATTGGTAATTAGGACCATTTTTGTTGTTGTTTCGTGTGTATGGGATTGAGATTCGAACTCGTGGCTTGACTTGTTAAAGTAAAATGCCTTCACCACCAAGCCGCAGGGTTCACGTGGCGCAATTGCGACTATCTTTATGGAACCTAACTTGCATCTTTCACCTTTGAATATCTAGTAATCAAGGATTATTTATAAAAGAAAAGAAAAGAAAGAAAGAGCATATAAATAAGCAATAAAATTGTTATGCTCATTAAAATTTAAAATCTAAAACAATTTTCTTATTAAAAAAAATTAGGGCATGTTTGGTTTTATTTTAAAAATTTGTTTTATATTTTTAAAAATTAAAAAATTAAAAAAATCATTTAGATAAAACATTTTAAAAGTATTTTTATTTTATTTTCCTTGTTTTCAAAACATACTATATTTAACTATTAAAAAATATAGTTATCTTCACTAAATTCTTTCATAAATCACTATCATTAATATCCTAACCATCACTATTAGTCTATTTTTAATTTTAAAATTTTTTTAAATTAACATAACTAAACAAATTTTTATTTTGTTTTGTTTGGAAAAAAATTCTAAAAAATATATTATAAAATATTTTTTTTAAAAAAATGGGAACTAAAACCAAAGAAACCCTTAATCATTTAATTTTTATAATTTTAATTCAATTATAATTTAGTCTCTAAACTTTAATTTATTATAACTCAGTCTTTAGAATTTTGATTCGCTTTCAATTCATTTTTTAAATTTTGATTTGATGTAACTCAATTCTTATATAGTTTTAATCATTTAAAATATTGGTCCTATATTTTAAAAATAAAATTATAAAAATTAAAATTATTTTAAAATTTAGGAATTAATATTTTAAATTACTAAAACTTTTAATTTATAAAGATTCTAAAAATTTTAATTTTAATTTTTTTAAAATATAAGGACCATTATTTTAAAGCTTGAAAAGATCAAACTGATCCCTAAATGGTAAGTCCAAGTCCTTCTAGGACCCTAAATTCATTCAGAAATTGAGTTATAATTGAATAAAAATTGTAATGACTAAATAATTATTTTTTCTTAAAAAATATTTTAGATTTTTAATTTAATGTGTCTAACAATTTTATTGCTTATTTGTGTCGTAGAAGTTGAAAAATGAATATGCAAGTCCATGAGTTTATCCGTCATGCTGGATCCCACGAAAAGTCCCAAACTCCCAATAAACAATTCTTTTCATTTTTTTTAATATAAAACCACGTCTAACAATGCAAAAAAAAAAAAAAAAACAAAGGGTCACATTCGATATTATACAATTTCTACACTTCTAGAATGGATCATCAAAAATCTTAATAGCAAGATTATCCTTAGAAGCTTGATGGGTGATCGATGGTTAATCCCTTTCACTTTTCATTTTTTTAATTGATGAATGCCAAGCGTTGAGCATGAAAACTGAACCCATAATGCACTAAACGACTAAAAATTGTTCGGCAAAATGCAAAAAAAGAAAATTAAAATGGTATTTTTTTATTTTACTTAACCCACATTTTGTTATCAAAAAATGTAATTGTAACCATGGCACTTTAGGAAACTTGCTTTTCTGGTCAAGCATTTGGAATGTGATCAAAATTTATCATTAATTTATCATTAGTTTCTCTCTCTTATTTTTATTTGAGAAGTTAAAGACCTACTAATTGAAGGGCTCTGAAATATTTAACTTTTTCAATGAACATTTTGTTCTTTTTTGTAAGCACATTCATGAAAGATTTTTTTTTTTAAAAAATTATTTTTTTTGTTGCAGGTCGGCACTGACAAATTTAATACATGATTGTGAGGTCTTCTAAAAGAAATAACTAACTCTCTGTTTGGATAAACAAAATTGGAAAGAATGAAAGAAAATTAGGAGGAAAAACTTCATAATAAAAAAATTACTAGTTTTTTTAAAAAATTCTCTCAATTTTCTCTCTTTCGTATTTTCTGTCAATTTTTCTTTCCATCCAAATTAAACCTAAAAGTCATCAAACTAGGGGAGAACATCAGTTAATTTGATTCGGTTCGGTTGTGATTAAAGAAAACCGACAAACCAAAATTTAATAATTTTTTGAACCGAACTGAACCGAAGTTTTGGAAAAACCGAACTAAAACTGAACCGAATTTTAATGGTTTGGTTATTTATTTTGGTTATTGGGTCTTTTTGTCAATACACTAGGCCTTTTTTTGTCAATAAATTGGGCCTATCTCCAAAAAAGAACATCATACTAATTAAGAAATAATTTAAAACACCAAATGCCCCTAACTAAAGTGAAGGAAAAATGATTTGGACTGGTCTAGTGGATCCTGTGAAATTTTAATTCTTGAAACCTCAAACAATTATAAAATTAACATAATAAATATAAATAGTGAGAAAAACAAAAGGGATCCCCAAAAACAATAACGTGGACACTGGACAACATAGAAAAGCATATCAAAATATAGGAATCAAATATAATACTAGTATTTCTAAAAAATATTAATAAAAATAAAAACAATCCTTAATAATATAAATCAATTATAATATTTATAAATATATATAATTAATTTTGATTAATTCGATTTATTCGGTTTTGCAATCTTCAAACTGAACCGAACCATTTAAACTAAAATTTTTTTAAGAAAAAATCGAACCGACCATTTAAACCGAATAAACTGAACCAAATAGATCAAACTCAATTTGGTTTGATTCGATTTTCGTCTTCGGTTCGATTCAATTTTGCTCACCTTTACATCAGACCTTAGTTTCAATTTCACTTTATATTTTTTTGCCGTTGATGGGTTGATACACTTCGATTGAGGCCGTGATTATATTCTACAACTTATTTTTCCTTTTTTGTGTTCAGATAAGGAAGCATTTCTTTCGACAATTTTAACAAGGAAGCTAGAAAATATTAGCCCATCACTTGTTTTGTTATTACCTTAATGAAGTTGCTGCTTTTATTTAAAAAATAATAATATAATTTTTAGCTCCTAAATTTTCTATGAATTATCAATTTATTAGTATGGAATTGGAAATGGAGAAGTGAAAGCGAAAAAAATAAATTATTTAATCATTAATACAATGAATCTCATTTTTCTAGAGAATCCAATCCTATCAAAATTGGTGGAACTCACTTCCACTTTCATAACTATGGAACCTACTTCCTTCCTCACTTCCTTCGTAAAAAATATCTCATTTCATGTACAAACTGAACATATTTTAAAACTCCACTTTCATTTTCATAAAATATTCTCCCATGGTACCAAACAGGGCATTGATTCTCAGTCACAACTAATACGTTCTAGAAATATTTGTTTCATATTTTCAAAGTAATTTTGACTGTTAAAATAATTGATCACATGCAGAATGTTAATGGAGTACAAATCCTAAGATGATCTCCTAACAACAACCATTATATATATATATATATGAATGGCCGCTCGATACAAGAGTAAATTGCAAATCACATCTCTACAAACGCACAACTGATGAAGTCAAGCAATTAAGACTTGCTGCAATTTGAAGAAAAATGAAGAGAAAAAAACAGTTTTAAAGTGCAGTATGGCAGAGCTTAGCAACCTGATATTATAGGAAGGTCAAATAAAGCAATAAACATGTAGCATAGAATATCTAGATTCATCATTCTAAATAACATCTCCAAAGGGCATGAAAACCATATAGTTACATAATAATCTAATCTGATGTGGATTCATTTCCACCAAAATATTTAGACAAAAGCAATAACTAAACTTTCCGATCAATGTTCTTCAAAGTGGATGTTCCAAACTGGTACAAGGCTTTCCACATGATTGAGGACACGACAATCATTGCCACATCCAGGGATAGCAAACATCTTAAATTCATTAGTAGTCATATTCAACAGATACATACCAGCCTTTCGTCCATCATTCTCCGTTTCACGTTCACTTTCATTGGTAAGTCTAGGCATTCCAAAATCAATACATACAATTTCATTCCTCCAAAGGGCCCCAAGTTTTAACATGGAAGGGCAGTGATTCCTAGCATATTTCTTAGTCCAACACCATCTCTCCGTAGGTGAACCTGTACACTCCTCTAGCACCCACAAATCAATCGAAGAATATAGATAGTCTGGGAAGGTTCCAATATTAGAGAGAGAAAGTGCAGCAAATTTGTCCTCATACACAGCAAATTTTACAGTTGAATTATCACGATCAGATAAAGGAGGCCATGGTATCAACACAAACACTTCCATTTCTATGTCAAATGAAACTATCAAATCAGTATCATCTTCACCCTGCTCCTCCACACCTCGTCTTAGACCCCACCAAAAGATAGCTCCGTTTGCAGTGCCAGTACCGTGAAAAAGACTTACACCCTCTAAGCTTCCAAATTCTATTTCCTTCCATAAACCTGTGCTTAACGAATACACTTCAACTACACTAATTGCATCATCACACCCAGGCCCATCATAAATTTTCACTATCTTATAGTCATTAACAATTGGGCTGAACCCAAATCCTACTATGCATTCCCACATCGGAAATTCAACAGTTCTGGATCTAGGTATCTGTCTGACCTCTCCAATAGCAGGATTCCACAGTAAAAGGGAATTGCACAAAAAAAGGGACTGATCGAGTGCAACACAGAGCAAGCCATTGCTGGAACCGATGATCCCAACGTCCGGTAAGGAACCGATCAAAGGTGCGTTCTGAACTTCACGGACATGCATCTCACAATCGAGCAAACGCAAGTGCAAAGGCTTACATGTACTACTGTTGTGTATGATAAGAAGAGAAGGGTTTTGATGAGTTGGGTAGAGCAGGTGTTCAGCGATGAAAGATGGGGTTTTGAAGAGATTCTTCCAACGTTTGCAGACACATTGAAATCGGATTAGGGATTTCACAGGGAGTCGTTTGAGAATGTTTGTCACGATTTCTTCAGGAAGAAATGGCGTGTCGCCATGCACTGCCGGCCGCCTCATAGTGCTCGAGAGGAAAGAACAGATCTCTCAGAGGAAAGCAGAAGAAATCGAAGGAAGGGAATCAAAGTGATGCACCTGAGTTGTAAGTCGTCGACCGACAAGAAGGAACCTCATAGAGCAAAGCCCTCGCATTCAACTGCGGCCATTTTAGGGGATCTCATTAGGAAATGAGAGGAAGATGGTCGCAAGTCGGGACGGATGTTTATATTTTTTTTCTTTTTCTTTTTCTCGTAAATTATTCTTTTTAATTTTAAAAAAAAACATACATTTTGATTTTTATAATTTATTCATATTTTATTATAAGTTTCTTCATTTTTTTAATATTCTAAATCCCTGAATTTTTATTTTATGATATTTTAAATTTTTAAATAAAAAATGAACAAAGTGTAAGGATTTTAGATGAATATAAAACATTAAAAATTAAAATGTAGGGATCTAAAATATTAAAAAATATAAGAATATATAATAAAACACGAACAAAATGCAGGGACAAAATGCATATGTTCCCTTAATTTTTTGTTATTCATTTGAATTTAGTTTTTTGGCCAAATTATTTTCTTTTCTTTTTTATGGAAAACGAAACTTTAATGAATAAATCGGTTTTTCCATCAATGTCCAGAAGTAGTTAAATTAAATATGAAAACATTACATTTTTAATATTCTCTACCTGATTAAATATTTTAAATATCTAATGTTGGCAATTTTTTTATAAGGACTTGTCTGCTCAAGCAATGGATTAAAAAAAACAGAAAAAAATAATTAAATTATCCGTTGCTTCATGTTAAACATGAAAAAGTTCAATACCACATATTTCAAATTTAATAATCACCATACCCACCATAATCACCATAACCATAAGAAATCATGACTCTTAACTCATAAATTAAATTATTTATTCTAGTCATGAACATGGTATACTTGCCTTTCTTTACATAATAGTCATTGTATTTTTATTTTTTAATACATTTCATTCTATTTTTTTTTCCAGTAAATAAACCGGTCCTGAAGACTTAGTTTAATGAAAACTTCATTTATTCAGTTTCTGAAAGGAGAACAAAAAGCACCATGGTGATTGTTGGTATTGTAATATGACACAAGTGTCATCTTATCTTGTTTTGATTCTATAATCTTAGTACATTGGTAATACTAGCTTTTTTTTTTTTCACTGATAAAAAAGTTAAATAACCATTAACTTAAATTGCTGGTAAAAAAAAAACCTTTAACATAAATTACTCATCAAATATAATTAGTGGCATGAGATTGCTTTTTTAATAATATTTGTATTCGTTGTTATTTTTATATTAATAGCATTATTGAAAATTTTTATCTTGTTAGTATTTTTTTTATCTTCAACTAATTTTGAAGTCACCTGGCAACTAATTGAGTGCTTCCCAATTTGGCCTCCCCCCCCCCCCCCCCCAAAAACACTATAACGATTTCTACCATGAAAGTTTATTATTCATTAACTTACCTACAATTTAATGTATCTGAGGACTTGATATATATATTATTTTGGTCAGAAAATCGGATGACTTGATATTTATAAATTTTGACTGTACTCATAATTAAAATCCAACACAATCATATTAATTAATGTCATATTATGCCATTTTTACATACCGAATACACGCTTAACATTTGAGTGTGCGCTCTTTTTAATATCATATGTAAGTTGAAATAATCAAATACAACTCTATGTTTCCCTTCTCTTTAGATTTTTTTTTAATCTTTAAATATCCATTCAACTTTCATGGATCCATTTCAAGGTGTTTCAGAGTGAAGAGAGAACAAGAGAGAGAAGGAGGAAATGAGAGTGAGAGAAAGGAAGCAAGGAACAATGAAATGATTACTCCCTCCGTTATGAGAAGTTGGATGTTAAAAAATATAAGATATTTTTAATTTTTTAAAGTGTAATCATTACCCTTTTTTTTTAAAATACCCATATTGATGAATGACTTTATATTTATTGTAGGGTGTTTAATAAAGATAAATATAAAAAGATAGGGTTAGTTTAAAAGTAGGTAATTACTTTTATTTGAGGTGATATTCAGTTTAAAATGTCTTACATTTTTTAATGGAGTAAGTACATGATTAACATTGAATGAGAACACAAATATAATATAAAATGAAAAATAATACTCTCTCCATTCAACATTATAAGACATTTTTTTAAAGTATCATGTTAAAAAATATAAAATACTTTGAGTCTTTCAAAATACTATTAATAAAAAAATTTCAAAAATATCTTTAATTAAAGGCTGCAATATAATTAACAAGGTTTTCTAATCAAAATACTTTATTAAATAAAAATAAAATATAAATAGTATATAATTTTAAAGATAATTAGCTAACTTATTAAAGATATAACTTAGTTACAAATATTTTATAATACTAAAAGGAGGGCATACAACAGTCTAGTAATAGTGACATGAGCTTGCATAACCGAACAGCGGATCTCTCCATTTTTCCCCTTCTATTGCCCCAATCCTCACCATTTATTAATTTTATTATTAAAAAAATTATTTAATAAAATAATTTGAATGATGGGGATTGGATAAATATAGGGAAATGTAGGGAAAAAATGGAGAGACCCCTCTCCCTTGTGTAACCACCATCTAACACTATCCCTCAATTTAAGCTATCTTTTTTGAACAAGTGTCTGTGGATCATGAAATCTCGAACCTGATCTACTAATAGGTCCTGTGTAGAAATTAGAGCTACTTTAATTTCTCTCTTGATAAAATTTGATGAGCACCAAAAGTTGATAAAATTTCTATAAACTTGTTCAAATCATCACATGTTTCTTATGAATAATTTTAGCATCAGAGTTAGGAAATAATTGTATTAGGCATTTCATTTTGTAGACTATATCAGTATACACATATTGTGAATCAATTTTTTCTACTAATAGTTTTTCTTATTCACATTAAATTTACAATTTGATCTCTCTAAATCGTTATTTATAACATATGATGAAGTTGATAAATAAAAAAATGCAAAATCATGAAAAATATGGCAAGCAATTAATTTTTGAGAAATATTTTCTAAAAGTCATATTTTTCAAAATTTTGTTTTACTCTGTAATTTACAGAGGATCTTAAATCTATCCATTGTCATAAGAACCACAAACATAAAAGGACTTTGTTACAAGAAAGGTTAGCTTGACATGTGACAGTCTTCAAACTTAAACCTAATCATGCTTCAAGATCTAACAGATCTGTCATTATCATTTTTAAATCCTTATGCCCATTATCTTCTTGTCTAACACCACCTATGTGACAAATTTTAAAATATTGATCTCAAGCAAAAAGTTAATGATGTACATATCCTTATGCCTATTTCGTGTGTCCCAAGGTCTAAAAATGGCTGGTGACATGGCTATCTCATGCCTTATCAAAATAATTTTAGAATTAATCTTAAATATAATAAGAGTCAACTTAAATCATCTCTCCAAGAGTGTAGTTAAACTTTAATTATGAGATTAATTAGTGAAATAAATGAAACTAAGTGTTAGGATTGATTTATCTAAAACTACTAAACAAATAACTAAATTCTAGCCTAAAGAGTGTTGGAAATTCTCCTTTCAAAGAGTTGGAACTCTTAAAATTGGTTGATGTGCGAAACTTTATTTTCTTGATGGTTTAAGTCAATTAATACTTTCTTCTCCCCTTGACCAAATTGTATTGAACCTAGGATAACCATCCCAACCCAATTAACCTAACTAATTTAATTTTTTAAGTCTTAGATTAAAGTTTTTAATTTATTTTCCTTGTTTGTGCAAGCGTTGGACAAGTATGGCAATTAAATTCATCCTCTCAAGTGCCATGGCCAAGACAAAAATATGAGCAACTATAAGACTATGTAAAGTTACTCAAGTGCAAGCATCAATTCACTAGATTATGTAACATTAAAGCAAGAAATTCACTAAATGAAAAACACAATTACATGCATTTATCTTGAAGTGGCTGAATTAAACTAAAAAAAAAATGAAAGAGAATTCAATGTCACAAGTATATTCTCTTTGCATACAAAGACTAAATTCTCATTGGAATTATAAAATTATGATAATCAAACCCTAAATTAAGTTATCTAATCATTAAGTTAAAAAAAGTTAGGAATTTAGAAAAGCTTAACCAAAGTTTCTCATGATTCATTCTTCATCTTTCTCTTTCTAGGAGTCCTCCAAGGTATCTAGCCTCTCATCTTCATCTCCATGGCCTTCTTGAAAGTCTTGATGTAGCCAAAACTTTGCCGTTAGAATTAAGATTTGAAGCTTTGCAACTCAAGGAATATGGGAATGGACGAAATAATGAAGATGAGAACATTGGTGTGTGTTTTTATGT